GGGGGGGGGGGGAGGTTCATCTCATCCTACAGCTGGCAGTCCAGCATTCAGGGAAGTCAGGGCAGGAGCCTGGAAGCAGGGACTGAAGCAGAGGCGTTGAAGGAGTCCGACTTACTGGCTTGCTCCTCATGGCTTCCTCAGCCTGCTTTCTTATAGCATCCAAGACCAATGGCACAGAGGTGGTGCTGTCTGTCCCACACCAATCAAATGCCCAACTACCATGGACCAATCTGACAGAGGCATTTCCTCAAACTGAAGTTATCTCTTCCAAAATGGCTCTACCATGTGCCAAGCTGACATAAGACGAGCCAGCACACGGGCTACACACAGAAGCTAAGTGCATTCTGTTGTGCTAATTCAGAATATCTAAGGTCAAGAAAGTGGCCATGTACTATGCTGGAGGAGATAGTCCAGACCTGGACAGAAAGACACCCATCACAGACACTGGCCACTCACACCAACGTCTGTCTCTTTCCTGGGCAGTATAAAGGCTGGTTTCTCATTTCCTCTGGGGCAGGCAGTGAGGGAGGAAACCTGGGAGCTGGCACACTTCTTTTCCTCTCCTGCCGGGAAGATGATGGGCATTCAGACCGAGCATGCTTACCAAAAGCAATCCTCAATCTTTCAAATCAAGAAGTGTGTTCTTCTGGGAGAAGCTCCCTCAGTACTACAAAAACATTGATCTCGGCTCTATAAGACACCTAAGAAGGCCATGGAGGACAGCTATATAGAGAAGAACTGTCCTTTCAATGGTAATGTCTCCACCCGAGGTCGAACCCCATCTGGTGCCGTAACCCAGACGAAGATACAGACGGCCACTGTCATCTGCTGGGACTATCTTACATCCAAAAGTACAATGGCTTTGAGAAGTACCACAAGAACATGTCTGTGCACCTGTTCCCATTTCAGGGATGTGCAGAGCCCAACACTGTCACCACGGGAGCGTGCAGACCCCTGCGCTTTGATGTGCTCAAGGCCACCAAGGAGCAGTTTCACAAGTTCTGAGAGGACTCTGGCCAACTTTCATAAATAAAGTTGTTTCTCAACTTTTTATTTTTTTTTTTAAGGGAGACTATGGCAGAGAAATGCCACTCTAAAGCGCGGTGTGGAATGCCCCCAGCACACTGACCCTTCACCAGAATAGGTCCTTCCCAGAACTCCTCGGGACCTTTTCAGTATTAACTTCAGTGAATCTTGTGGGGAAAACACCCTAGCAACTTTTAGGAACTGATTTTCAAAAAAAAATTAAAACCCTCACTGTAAACTCAGGATCTGAACCCAAAATGAGATAATGACCCCATGTGGGAAGTGTCCTTAATAGTGACACTCTGACAAGAAAACACAGCCAGTGAAAATGACCAGGGTCTCACATGTGACCTGCTTTAGAACTGGGATGATGGCAGAGACCAGGGAAATGTTTCTAAAAGAGCCGGACAACCCACTTTAGCACACTAACAGTGAATTCCGAGTCGTGTGGCTGAGGTAAATCCAACAGGCACCCTGACCCTGCAGAAATCCTCTAGCAGTGGGCAGCGGAGAGGCCACCTGTTGGTGGAGCACCTGCGGAGGATCGGAGCAGAGACCCTCAACACAGAGATCTGGTAGGCTGGCCAACGCCCCCAAATACAGCAGCAGGATCCTCTGTACCCCAACCACACCGACCATCGACAACTCCACAGCAGCCCCTGGTCCTGCCTCCGCCCATCCCGTCCCATTAGTCCTTGTGCAATGTGGTACAAAGGTCAGTACAGTGGCACCTGGTTAATATCCAAGCTGATTTACTTTTCCCCAAACTGAATACCTGAACAGCAGTGAATTCTGCTGAAATGGAATGTCGTCACCTTTCAGACCTTCCCATGCTTACGTATTCACCTAAGCGGAGAGCTTGGATGCCGTGCTGCCTTTCCCCTCATGCCGCTGTGCTGCTTTGCCTAACAAAGAGCTGAGTGGCAACAGCTTGGCAGAAGGAAGGATATATGTATGGGGTTGCGGGCAGAGAAGAAATAGGAAGAGAAATCTGGGAGGAGAGGAGAGAGGACATCTACAGAGCCCAGAGGAAGGTGAGAGCCCAGAGGCAAAGGTAGACGGGATAACTTAAGACAAGCTGGATAGAAAGAAGCTAAGGCTGGACATTCATAAGTAAGAATAAACCTGTGTATTTATCTAGGAGCTTGGTGTCAGCACTCCTCACCCCCACCCCCCAAAGAGAGTAAAAGAAACCAACTCCACAGGTCTTCTGTCTAGGGAATGTATTGCCCACAGTGGGGTCTTTCCATGTCAGTTACTCTAAGACTGAGCCCATGTCTGCAGGCCAGCCTGATGTAGAGGAGCCTCAGTGAGGATCTCCGGGGTGAACCGTGTCAAGCTGACAATTAAAACCAACAGTCCCAATGGCCATAATTTTAACCTTGGAAGAAAAAAATATTCTACAGTTCTATGACTTGAGTATAGATTATCTGGTATACGAGAAGCCCTAGATTCAATCCCCAGGAAAAAAGAAGAGAATGGAGATTGGTTCACTCGAAGCAAAAATTCCACTTTTTCCTGACCCTATCTCCAAAATTTCCTAACTTCAGATAAGTATTTGCTAAAATATATGCTAACTGGATTAGTAGTAAAGAATGGGGAAAAAAACAAAACAAAACAAAAAAACACAAAACAAGGTTTTACAGCCACCCATAACCATCCAGCTGCAAATATCCAAATTCTGTAAGACTCTTCCACACCTCACAGCAACCTCCGTGAGATCAACCAGGGCCATCTAAGGCTGCACAGGCCTGGGCATTCCCCAGAACTGAGCTGGGTCCCCCACAGCACGCCTCTCGTGGAGGCGCCATTGTTTGCCCTCACTGAACACTCACACACGCAGGAGTGAGGCAGGGTGGACGGACAGCTTTCAGTTACTAATCCCCATTTTGTCTTTTCAGCCTCCACATGTTTACCATGGTTTGGTTTGGTTTTTTCCCATTTCACAAACAAGGAAGCAGGGATTAGAAAGAAAACAAGTTCTAGCAGCCCTAAACCAAAATGAATGCTGACGAGGTTCAAACATGGCGCCACCTAACCCTACAAGTCACCGTTTTCAGTTCAAAAACAGCATAAAACACAGACTGTCATTCTCTGTCACAGCAACAAGAGAATAGCATTACGCCCTCATTCTCATTTCCTAATATTCATTTTGGTGAACCGAGGGATCTCAAAATTTTCGACCTCAGACTGATAACCGTCACATTTCCATAAGAACCAAACCTCTTCTCTCCCTTCACACCAGAGTAGATGTGTCCAGCAGACAGCCAGAGGAGGGACGGACTCACCTCTGCCATCTTCCTTAGCAAACACTAGCTTCTACATAGGATAGGAGGTTCTGGCTTCCACAGAAATCAAGAGATGTTTTTGCACCCGTTCTTAAGTGTTCTAAATACATCTCCATTTTAAGGACTCCACTTCTATGAGCCCAGCGACACAGCGCCTGTCCAGGGCCTGAACACAGGAGTCGCCCTGGGCTCTCTCAGTGATGGATGGATGACCCTAGGAGATCCACCATGAGAGTTTCTATTCAGGGTCAAACCACATGAATGCAGCGGTTCCCAACCCTAAGGCTGCAGCCCTTAATACAGTTCCTCATGCTGCGGTGACCCCAACCATACGATTATTTCCAATGCTACTTCACAACTGTAATTTTGCTGTAATGATCCTAATGTAAATATCTGTGTTTTCCGATGGTCACAGGCGACCAAAGGGGTTGAGACCCACATTATATTACTACTAATACAACTTCACCACTGAAAGAATAGGGGAAGGCCAGGGACCCTCCGTAGTGTTCCACTACTGTCTCTTCTGCTTGACCTGATTATTGATTCACCTGGCTTCTCACAAGCTGAGGGTAGACACATTAGCTACTCTGCTACCTCATCAACACCATCAACTCTCTGCAGCATAAAAACAGCACCGTCAGTAGGGCACAGCCGACAACTTAACTATGAAGAACAAGGGCTAGGGTGGCAGGAGGTTCTGTGGCCACTGCAGCCACCCTATGAGTGATTAGTGGCTACTGTCATAAATTAATCAACAGTTTCAACAAAGCCCCCTCAGCTTCTTCTCTGAAACAGAATGTCAACACCAACTGCTTTCACCAACAATAAAATCTGGTGAGTGGCATTTTTAATGATAATGGTGCCATCAAAGCCTCGTCTTTTGAACGCAAAGGTCAAAGACTCTCTCCTTGCTCTGGAAACCTGCTGTGTTATCAGAGTCCTCCACAGCCACGTCCCCGCCACGTCCCCAGCTCAGCCCAGTGCGGCACAAGGGGAAGCAGCGTTATTTTTAAGCCTTACCTTCAGATAGGATCCATAGTATTTGGTTACATATGGGCTGTCGCACTGACTCAGCACTGTGATCTCTTGTTGAATGTCCTCTATCTCATCTTCAGCTTCTTCCAGATCAATGATCTTTATGGCAACCACTTTCTGAGTCCGATTGTCAATGCCTTTGAACACCTCACCGAAAGAGCCCTTTCCAATTTTCTCCAGCTTGGTAAAAAGCTCCTCTGGATCCGCTTTGAGGTTCTGCGGAAGAGAAGGAAGGAGATGTCAGAATTCCCAGAGTCACAGTGGGTCCCTACGATGGTGTGTGTGTTCCCAGGGCCACAGCTGAACCCTCACTCTACCCTGAATGGTGTGAACAGGGCCTGGGAGGGACGAGGAGGACCAGGCTGCTGCAACTACGCTCTTGAGGGTCAGGATCCAGGCCTGGGTCGTGTCTACCCATGCGGGTTAAACAAACACAGCAAGTGTGGGACAAGAACAACGCAAACTTTGAATAAAGAAGACAAAGCCTAAAATCTATACTGAAATGTACCAGGGTAAATATTTAGCTACTTTAAAAACATGAGCCGGGCAGTGGTAGTGCACACCTTTAATCCCAGCACTCGGGAGGCAGAGGCAGGGGGATCTCTGTGAGTTCGAGGCCAGCCTGGTCTACAAGAGCTAGTTCCAGTACAGGAACCAAAAAGCTACAGAGAAACCCTGTCTGGAAAATAAAAAAAAAAAAAAAAAAAAAAAAAAAAAAAAATAACCCATGATCCTGGGCTGGCACTGATCTGCAGTAGAAGGCTGTGTAGTATTGTGAATCCCTGGGTTCAGGAGGCAAGGGAGGGAAGAGGTGAGAAGTTAGTCTGCTCCAAGCAAAAAAAGATCCATTTTTTTCTCAACCCATCTCCAGCATGTCCTAACAGGTGGATCAGCTCTCACCTAACGGGGGGGGGGGGGGAACACCCACCACAGTCTAATTCTGACAGACTCTTTCCACCCCAAGTAAATACAGCCCTACTTGTCCCTTACAGCTATGCTCTTCACCAGAGCTACAGCCAGATCCCACTGCCCACAAGCACGTAACCACTACAATACATTTAGAGCACTTGAGCAGGAATCGACCTGAAGGTGCCACTACATGCAGCACCCATGTCCTAACAATATCTGGATGTGGGTCCCACACCCACACAGTCCTGCCCAGAGCAAAATACCAGTGACACCCAAAACCTGAAACTCCCAAGGACGTGAGAAGCCAGCCCCAAAGCCAGTCTGGTAAACACATTTTCCCACTGAAAGAAGAGGGTGCCGGCTGATCCTTAAAAGTCTATTATTAATCCTTCAAAGAAATCGCATGGGGGGGGCAAGAAAGAGAGCAAGGAGAGGGGCTGAGAAGGAGGCACGAAAGAAGGTTATCACTGAGCAGTGACAAGGTAGGTCAAAGGCACAGGACATGCCAACACCAGCAACACAATGACGATGACCTTGCTGTCACTGGGTGCCAGCCACTCACATGCTTTCAGAGCTGAAGTTCCAAACATCTGGCTTACAACCGTGTGTAACTTGGGAGCCTCGCTGAGCTACGCCATATAACAAGAACCAGGCACTGATAATCACACGGAGGCAGAGGGTGTCTACATGCTGGACACGGCACACACGATGTGAAATGTGCCGTGGAGTTCCACAGAACACATGGAGAAAGGCTGTCACTCAGCGCAATGGAAGGGGCTGCCCTGTCACACACAGGCTCACAGGAAGCTAAATGCACTCAACCCCATTCACCTTCCTTTGCACTTGAAACTCAGCACACAGCTGTTTCCAGTCCTGCCACTCACGACTTTCTCCAAGACAGTCTGAGAAAGTGCTCGGATCAGAGGGTAGGCTCCCAAATGGGGGCTGTTTTGAAAGCTGGTAGGAAACTTTAAGTTTTCCTCCATTTTTAAACTTGCCAGGTTTACTAGACAAACACTCTTCAAAATCATTTCTGGAAATATCCCCAAAGGAGGCTGGAGAACGCGGGTGGGGCAGCATCTTGCATCAACTCAGCTGGTACCCACATCACACAAGGAGCCAGGAGCAAAGACCTGGGTGGGGGCATCCATATCCCTCCTCCAACAGCCGGGCAGCCCCAAGATGCAGCCCCAAGCCTCTTACCTCCTTCCCTCCAGGGTGCAGTGGAGTGGCCTTCCTTTTCTTCAAGGCTGACGCTAATCTCGGGACTTTGGAATCCATCTCTGTGCAAAGGTTCACCAGCAGCCCTTTGGGCCGCTCTCCTTCCAGCTATCCCTGGCTACTGGCTCCTTGCCCTGGGCAGCACGCTCAGGTTCCTCCCACTTCAGACAGACGAGAAGCACCCCATTCGGCCTCCTCAGTTCCCCCACTTCACATGCTTCTCTGCTGAAGGTTCCTGACCGCCCTCTGCGCCCGCCTGCCCTGGCCACGCAGTCTGGCAAGCTGGTCACCAATGATGCAGCAACCTCCTTGGAGCTTCATCGGCCACTCCCTCTGCCCCTTGTAACCTGGCCTCCACGGCCCGTCCTCAGTCCAGGAAACCACCGAGACCTAACCCCATCCTTCCATTCTTTCTCTATTCCTTCTCCCAGGGATGGCAGCCAGTTCTGGGGCCCAGCATGTAGGTTGGCGATTCCCCCACCCAGATGAAAAGAATCACCTGGGACACTAATCGCTCAACCTAGTGAGTGTTGGGGGAGCTGCATCCAATGCACTTTTTTCAGCATTTCAGAAGATTCTGGGCACTGCTTTCCACCACCGTAGACAGGCCAACACCACGCTGTCGGCTCCCAGTCTTCCCAGACACACTGTCACTCACCCTCCTGGGCTGTCTTCCCACGACCCTCCTCCTCTGCATTCTTATGTTCTAGAATAAGCTGAGGAAGTTTGGAGGCCAGGCCTCACTCACCTCTACATCCAAGTAGCCACAGCAAGGGCGGCACGAAACTGAGAGTAAATGTTCCCTGAGCAGTAAGAAAACCTGGTTCACGTAGACACCAACCAGACCCACATCAGAAATCACAGAATAACCTGTCTCTGAGACCGTCCCCTGACGCACTTAGAGAAGGGCTCCTGAGAAGGGCAAAGCCAGCCTGGGCACGCCAACTGCTGGCCTGCTGACTGCTCAGTCCTCATGTGTAAACGCTGGTACTTCCTTTGCAGAGGTTTTTTTTTTTTTTTAAATAATAATAATTTACAGAAAACCCTTCCAACACCAAAGAGGCCAGTGGAAGCCACTGTTACTAGGTTCCCTGCCTAAGAATCCAGCCTGCCCTGCACACATGGCGGCGAATGCAGCGCCAGTGTCCTCGTAGTCGGTGGTGCGACCTGGAGCCCTGGCACGTGCATGAGCTCATTCCTGCCCAGCACCCACAGACGCAGAAACTGGAAGCTGCCTGGCTTGTCTGTTACTCCACAAAACAGTTAATACAGAGTGAGGATGGAAGCCGTAGGGACCATCTCTCACACCCGTGCAGAGAAGTTGCAGCCTGATGCAGTTTGGTGCTGAACCACAAGGGCAGGGAGAAGGACACACTGTGCACACATGTGGAACACAGCCCTTAGCAGCAGGAGGTACACTAGCAGAGTGCCCAAGAAGTCACCGACCCAGGCCTTCAACCTCATGCACCTGTGTCTGCTATTCTACTATCACCCCAGAACCTGTGTCTGCCTGGGATTTCTTCAAACCCTGAACAACTGACAAGGTCAAGTCTTACAGGACCACACAGTTCTCAACTGAAGCCTCTTGAGCACCTGCATCAACACAAAGAAGCCTGTTCTGGCCCCTGGAGCAGCTGCACAGGCACTCCAGCTAACCACAGCCACTAGCCACAGGGTACAGGCGCATGTATACACCCATACCCACAAACACCCACACTGAGAGACGGGATGGGAGAATGGTGTGGCAGCTTGATAATAATAGTCCCCATAGGCATCCCCTAGTCTCTCCACGAAAACAAAGCCCCTGCCTAGGTCTGATATGTCAATCACCATCCCTGACACTACAGGATGCTTCACGGGTCTGGACCAGGGAAGTAAGTTGGCAGCAGGCATGGCAACCCACTCCTCTGAACCTGGCAAACAACCCTCAGCCTAGAGCTCATTCTCCTGAAGGTGAAGTGGGTCACAGAATTCCCGCCTTTCACTGCTGTTGTTTTTTACTCTTTTGGATCTTTCCTCTTGGGGCCACAACCCAACTCCCAAGTAACTCACACATGGAGGCTATTCTTAAGTATGAATGCTCAGACTTGGCTTAGCTTGTTTCTTGCCAGCTTTTCTTAAATAATCCCCAACTACCTTTTGCTTCTGGGCTTTTATCTTTCTTAATTCTGTAAACCTTACTTTCCTTCTTTCTCTGTGGCTGGCTGGGTGACTGGGTGGCTGACCCCTGATGCTCTCCTCTCCTTGCTCTCGGTTCCCCTTCTATTTATTCTGTCTGCCAGCCCCGCCCATCCTTGCTCCTGCCTCGCTATTGGCCATTCAGCTCTTTATTAGGACCATCAGGTCCTTTAGACAGGCAAAGAATCACAGCATCACAGAGTTAAACAAATGCAGCATAAACAAAAGTCACACACCTGACAATAATATTCCAACACTTCTCCCTAACTAGATTCCATAGTTACTCAGAAATTTTGTCTCCCCCACCAAAAAAAATTTTGGGGGTATTTCTGTGTCCCTGGCTCTCCCACACAAGATTGCCAGTGACATCCATGACTACCTACCAGAAACCCTGTTCCCAATTCCTTTCTTACCCTTACACCTAAAACTATGACCACCGTTCTTCTAAATGATTTCTCCAAACCCTCCATCTTTACAGAGGCCTCCTCCACCTACTTCAAAGGCCTGGTCAAAATGATCAACAAGAGGACACAGGCAACACCACAATGAGCACACCACGCACACACATGCACAGACAACACAATTGGGCTATGTCCTTAGGATGAACTTTCTCCAGGAGAACTTCATACTGTGTTTCTAATTTTTAATACAATGATTTTCCTCGTGGGTAACAAACCTTCAAGATAACTGGCAAGCAAAAGACATTCCTGAGCCCCACTCGGCGGGTTAAGCTGCACATCAGTCTCCATCAGCTCTCGGTGGGGATGGTAGTCCTGGCAGTCTGCACGCGTGGGGTCTGCCAACCGGAAGCTCCCACACTGAAGGCGTAAGTCACGAACAAGGCCACACCAGTTTGGAGTTATGATTAATAGGGTGTTATTTATTTAAAGGGGAAAACTTACAGATCA